GAATTAACTACCAGTATGCAAATTAACTACCAGTGTGCAAATTAACTATCAGTATGCAAATTAACTACCTGTATGCAAATTAACTACCAGTGTGCAAATTAACTATCAGTATGCAAATTAACTACCTGTATGCAAATTAACTACCAGTGTGCAAATTAACTATCAGTATGCAATTAACTACCAGTATGCAAATTAACTATCAGTATGCAAAATACTACCAGCATGCAAATTAACTATCAGTATGCAAATTAACTATCAGTATGCAAATTAACTATCAGTATGCAAAATACTACCAGCATACAAATTATCTACCTGTATGCAAATTAACTACCAGTATGCAAATTAACTACCTGTATGCAAATTAACTATCAGTATGCAAAATACTACCAGCATACAAATTAACTACCAGTATGCAAATTAACTATCAGTATGCAATTAACTACCAGCATACAAATTAACTACCTGTATGCAAATTAACTACCAGTATGCAAATTAACTACATGTATGCAAATTAACTACCTGTATCCAAATTAACTACCGGTATGCAAATTAACTACTTGTATGCAAATTAACTACCTTCATGCAAATTAACTACCAGTGTGCAAAATAACTACCAGTATGCAAATTGACTACCAGTATGCAAACTAACTACCGGTATGCAAATTAACTACCAGTATGCAAAATACTACCAGCATACAAATTAACTACCAGTATGCAAATTAACTACAGGTATGCAAATTAACTATCAGTATGCAAATTAACTATCAGTATGCAAATTAACTACCGATATGCAAAATAACTACCGGTACGAAAATTAATTACCTGTATGCAAATTAACTACATGTATGCAAATTAACTTCCTATATGCAAATTAACTACATGTATGCAAATTAACTACCTGTATGCAAATTAACTACATGTATGCAAATTAACTACCGGTATGCAAATTAACTATCAGTATGCAAATTAACTATCAGTATGCAAATTAACTACCAGCATACAAATTAACTACCGATATGCAAAATAACTACCGGTACGAAAATTAACTACCTGTATGCAAATTAACTACCTGTATGCAAATTAACTACAGGTATGAAAATTAACTACCTGTATGCAAATTAACTACCTGTATGCAAATTAACTACAGGTATGCAAATTAACTACCTGTATGCAAGTTAACTACCAGTGTACAAATTAACTACCAGTATGCAAATTAACTACCAGTATGCAAATTAACTATCGATATGTAAGTTAACTACCGGTATGCAAAATATGTGAAATACCTGCTGTTCATTCCATTTCCACACAATGGCTGTATTATCTGTAGATCCAGAAACCATTTCAGTTTCTTTCACGCCATGGCTAGTTGGACAACTTATCCACTTGACACAGTTTACTCTGCCTTTGTGACCATTCACCATGTACACTATGCTCCCAGCTTCCTTTTCTCGCTGTCAGAAAATAAGTGAACTCATGTTACAGGCCTATTATATTTCCAAGATTAAATATGAATTGATTTCAATGGGGACAAAAGTGTATACATGCAAAACAGGCACCTCACAAAAATGGATTCTTCCATTACTTACATATATACTCATAAAATCTTAGAAATTTCTGCTAATTGTTTAATGTGTTTTTTTGTTTTATTTACTATTGTTGTCTGTGACAGTGTGTATTACTTTGTTTTTGGTCATAAATTATGTAATTTCTTACATCATTTCAAGTCAAATAAAATATTCTATTCTATAATCATTAAAAATAATCCTTATTATTTAGGAAAATAAAGGGTAAGGCTAGGAATGAGTGCAATAATGGTAAGAAATACATTTGTATATCAATAAACTGAATATATATTCAAGGTTACATGTAGTAGGCTTTTACCAACTACTGTAAAAGGGTTAATTATTCACTGGGTTTTAATTTTGCTTATTTCGCTGTCTGGAAAATGCGCTAAATTAAAACCCAGTGAATATGTAAAATTTAGCATAGAACACATTATCTAAATGATAAAACCGTGAATATGCCTGAAATGGAAAATCAGCGAAATTTGAACCCAGCGAAAATTAATCATTTTACAGTACCCTTGAAAGCAATACTGGGATGGACTATTATTGTGGGTGAACCACTGACTTTCTGTGCGAAGAATGATCAGAAGGGCACTCAAATAAAAAAGAGGTTCTTTCACCCAATTTCATTCCTGTCTAACATCATAAAATTGCACCATGTGACTATGGAGACCAATCACAGATGGTGTAATGAAACTTGTCTAAATCAAACACCAAAAAGATTTATTTCAGATTAAAGAGATATTAGGTGTATAGCTTGATAATTTCAGAATTGTATGCTTAATTTAAAAGTAAAGAGCGGTGGTCGTCAAATAATGTATTTTACACTCATTTATGTCACTATAGTAATATCTTTATTGCATCCTTAGAAATAACATTTTTTTATCAGTTAATGTATATAAAATGAATGTAATGTAATCCCATTTTGAACACGATGTGTCGCCACGACGACCACCACCCTTTAAGATGTAAACATGTTTTTTAATTTGACTTGAATTTTATTTTTATGAAAATGGTGGTGAAAAGAAATAAGAGTGCGATGTTGATATAACGCACTGATTAATATTTATCACATATTTCATACAAAATTAATGTGATATTTTTAATATCACAAAATGTATTAGCTATATTTATCCAAGCATCATTCAATTTTGATATCATATATATACAGTGATAGAGGAAATAAGACACACCTACATGAATATTGAAACTCTACATCACAATATTCATGTAGATGTGACTTAATTCCTCTATCATCGTATTTATCCAATCTGCTTACACACTTAGTATTGAACACTCTTGTTTTGGAATAATCAACTCCTTTATCTACACTATATATATATATATTTCTTTGCGATATACTATAAATAAGGGCTACTTATTTGAACTGTTGGTGAGATTATAACGAAGAAATTGGGGGAAATGTTGTTAGACAACATTAAAGTAAATATTTACAGAAAACCAAAGTCTTTCAGCCCCCCCCCCCCCCCCCCATGATTTTAAATGGGTAACCCTAAGAATTAAATGGTGATGAAAAGCTAGGCTATGCGGTGTTACATCCCAGGGTTTTATCGCGACACAAATTTAAATACTACGTGTATTTCTACGCTATGTTTACGTATACTGTTTACCTTGGCCTCATATATTGCTATAGACCTACAGCTTCCATACGCAACGAGTCCATTACGACCCCAATGTACACACTGCACTGTACGATTACATGCTGCACTGATATAACATGTGGAAACAGCCGCCATCTTGAAACTTGTATTTTCCCATAATCCTTTTCTGCCCAGATGTAAACAAAATGATCTAAAATTGAATGTCCCATATAACTATAAATTCGATTTTCTTTTATGTTCATCAGACACAACAAAGCCAAAATTACTATCTCGTTATGACCTGGTTTTCAAAAGCACATTTTCTAGGCGACCGCAACTAAATGACGCCCCCACGTGGTCATAAAAACAAAAGAATTTCAACAACATACAGGTAAGGCCACATCCTCTGAAGACCCCAAAACTAATGCGAGAGGGCGAAAAAAAAATTCGGCAAAAAAAAAATGATGCTAAAACCACAGGATTACGGAGCTATTATTACGAATTTAACCACAGTGTATCAAAAAAACAACAAGTCTTTATTTGTAGGAGGCACATGCTGATGTACACATTTCGTACTGTATTATTGTCACAGGTATCATCACCTTTGATTTTGAAAAGGCAAGAGGATAAGGCAGATGTTAGCTTTGCCAAAGGCATACACATCAACTCAATAATAAAGAAAAACTTACTGTGTTGTATTGAAAAAAAAAAAAAAAATTGAACAATAAATTTGTCAACAGCAACCTGGAAATTAACTTCTTTGACATTCAAACTACAGCTTTTAAAGTGACACTTCAGATAGACTAAGTGTAGACACAAATGCTCTAGAACTACTTCAACTATGTAACAAATTATAAGAGGCTCGATATTGAAAAAAACAAACACCAACATCACCCCGTGGAGCTTCTGCTGCTTTCGTTGCAGTTTTGTCGACTTCAATGCGGACAAAGCAACCGAACTGATTTGTCGCCTGACCGACTTTTAGGCCACTATACACCTCCACTCCTCTCCCATTTCTCTCATCATTGCAGATGAAACGCGGAACAGCCACTCTGGACAATATGTTCTCAAAGTTGTCTGGGCGAAACTCGCTTGCCGCTACCGACCTCACGTATAGCAGTGTAAACGTCTCCCTGGCCGACGTCAATTGCGTACCAGTCTACAACAATCCCTCCGTTTCACCTCTGAACTTTTATGCTCACGTATTTTGGTGTTGTGGTCGCCAAGTTGGATCATTTATGGCAAAGTTTGCATGTTTTGAGGCAATCTCTTTCCCATAAGTCTTTGTCATCCATAAAATTAAATCGGTGTAGCCTAAATGCTGTTTCCCGTAAACCAATCTGATTAAAATAAGATTATATAATTACTATAATTGTTATTTATTTTAATTATTTACTATAACCACGAACAAAACCATTCTTGCAGCAAAATAATTGTAACGTTAAAAAATAATTAAAATAAATAATAATTATAATAAATAATTAAAATAAATAATAATTATAGTAATTATATAAAAAAAAATAAAAAAAAATTAAGCCAACCAGGATCTTATTTTAATCAGATTGCCCGTAAACCAACATGGGAGGTTATAGCCACTGAGCTAAAAAAAAAATATATATATATATATACATGTACTAGTAGTGTGGTTAAAACCGAGGTTTGATATCCGGTTTAGATTTGGCAGCTAAGTAACGTCGACCACACACAGAAATACATTTGGGTGTGAATATTTTGGGCCTTGGTCTAAGGTATTGGCATACCGGGGCATATGATAATCCTGTCACATGAACGTAATATAAACATAAAACATACGTCCAGGCACAGTCCCCCACCCCCTGTGATAGAGGGACTGTGGTCCAGGTTAGAGGTTGGTGGGCGGACGTCTCGGCCCGGACGTTTCGGTCTAAGTAGAGTTCAATGCTAAGACGATTTTAGAAACATAATAAACTATATATTAAATATTTCTATAAATAACTGTATGACGACATCACTTAATAAACTATGGCCAACTATGTATTAAATATATCTAGTAGCATTTTCGAACAATTTTATTAAATAGTTTAATAACTTTCTAGTATAAAAAATGAACGGAAGATAAAATATTTTAATTCTTTTATATTAGAACTTCAATTCTCATCACACGGAACACATAACACATGTACAGGGAGTGCATTTATGAGGTACATTTAACTTTTTGTTATATATATTTTTTACTACAACTATGGTGGTCCTTTCGATAGTAGAATCTTAATGCCTGGTGTGTATTTCATAATTTTTTTTTTCATCGACCTCGTGACCATCATGTAAATCATACAATTACTATTTTCCAATCCAACCTAAACCGAAACCTATACTGCCAACACTTATTGTTATGAAATAACTGATATCAACTTGAACGCATAACGATGGGTGCGAATTTCACAATGAAATACCCATTATACCCATTACGTATATTAACAATATAAAAGTGGTAGAACGTTGCTTTCTTATATGTTACCACCACCGTTTACTTGATCAGATTTGGAGATATTTCTGTATGGCTTCACTACTGTCGGCAACATAATATTACTGGTAACGCTAATTTCAAATACTGAAGATCGTTTATTTTACAGAAGAGAATCACGGGCAGAAACGTCCGCCCTGGTCGAAACTCTTAGCCGAAAGGTCCGGGCTAAAACATCCGACATTTCAAGTAAATGTAGGACAAACCATAGTCACTCTGTGGACAAACGTTCCCCGCACAAAACTGGAAGCGAAGCGAAGTTACGAGTAATTGGTAAATGATATTAGCTCAACAATAGTACCTTATCAAACATGACATTTATAAATGTGAAAAATATTTTAAAAAGAAAGTGGAGCATATGGGTAAGAATAGAATTGTAATCTCCATGATTACAAGTAGTAATAAGTAGTACTAGTAACTGATTAAACCGAAACCCAGACAAACAGAACAATGCTGAGTAAACACTGGTTATAATTACATGTAATTGATAAATTCTGAAGACACCGTTTTGAGCACAAATTGTGAGAGAACAAAAGCTCACAGGATAAAAGCTGGACACGGTCAATGTTGATAACAATAGACAGGACGTCTGCAACTATTGTATGGTTTCCTTATGTCTAGTTTGAGTAAAAAAATATGAAAATACACATTATCAAAGATATAAAAAATATTCTCACATTGTGTAACAGCAACAAATTAAAAAAAATACACCTAAAGACTAATAGTAAAATTCCATCTTCAATGTGAAATATAAGTTTGAAAATAAAACATGAGTAACAAGTAAAAACAAACGGGAAATAATAATGGTTGCACAATGGAATATTTGTCACATTTCCTATGCATCGCAGATAACGAATGATTCTCTGAGACTAAGTTGAACACCAAATGCACTAAGTTGAACACCAAATGCACTAAGTTGAACACCAAATGCACTAAGTTGAACACCAAATGCACTAAGTTGAACAC